TGGACACCATCATTCTCAGCAAACTGACACAAGAACAGAAAGCCAAACACCGTATGTTCTCACTCATAGGTGGGTGTTAAACAACGAGCACACGTGGACTCAGGGAGAGGAGCAGCACACACTGGGGGCAGTTGTGGGGGGATAGGGGAGAGACAGCAGGGGGTGGGGAGGGAGGGGTGGTTTGGGAGGGATATCATGGGGAGAAACGCCAGACATAGTATGCACCTGAAGTAAAATAAATAAATTAAAAAATAAAAAGTTCGTAAACATTTAAGCCGGGCACAGTGGCTCACGCCTGTAATCCTGGAACTTTGGGAGGCTGAGACGGGTGGATATGAGGTCAGGAATTCAAGACCAGTTGACCAGCATAGTGAAACTCCATCTCTACTAAAAATACAAAAATTATTCAGGTGTGGTGGCATATGCCTGTAATCCCAGCTACTCGGGTGGTTGAGGCAGGAGAATCGCTTGAACCCAGGAGAAAGAGGTTACAGAGAGCCGAGATCACACCCTGCACTCCAGCCTGGGCAACAGAGTGAGACTCCATCTCAAAAATAAGTAAATAAATACATTAAAAAATAAAGTTCTTAAACAATTAAATCTTTATAAAACTCAAAATAAGTATTAGAATCTTACTTACAAGTTAATTTGGGGATTGCCTATTTCAGGTCCTCTGCCTAAATAAAATTATCTTGATCCCTAATCATTTTTTTTCTTGCATGTTACATTGTCATATATCAACAATATGGTGCTGGCACTCAGAGAGACCTTAGTGATCCTCTAGTCTCTCTTCACAATACAGATGAGGACATGGGGACACAGGGAGCATAAGGAGCTGGTCAGAGTCATGTGGTCAGAGCCGAGACTGGAGCACAGGCCCTCACCCTGCAGTGCAGTGTGTTCAGTGTCCACCAGTGATGAGCTCCTGGAGATGGGGAAGGATGGAACCGTGACACAGATCTAAAGGATACAGGGGAGATCTCAGGGCCCTGGTGTTAACTGTTCATGGTACTTCCTTGCCTTCAGCTGTGGAGCCCTTTTCAGAAAAGATCTAGAGAGCTCCTTCCTCATGAGTTCAGAGTTTTGAGGACTTGCGCTAAATGCACCCACCCTTAAATTAAGAAAAAAAATAATAACTTCCTCCTTATGCACACACCTCTGCCTCATCAAACTATGAGTACCACTTAGCTCTAGATTGGCCAGTAATCCTTAAACATAAATTCCCAGGAGGATACAAGACTCTGAGCTCTAATTTGGGATTGAAATATTTCCCTGTTTTGTATTATTTTCCACCCAAGCATCAAACAGCTTAAGTGAAAGAGCAGTTCTGGTTTTAAAGGAAAATTACATGTTTTGACTTAGAATTAATCTTTGTTTTCTCCCATCTCCGTGGATAATTACAGTATGTCACTTTCTGCTCACATGCTGGTGGAAGCCTGCCAGCATCATTGGATACTGGGCCACCCTTAAGATAGGGTCCCTCAGCAGGGGCAGCATCTGGGCACAAGAGCTCAGGCTCAGGGTCATGGCATTGATGACCAAAGCTGAGGCCCCGTATTTTGTTTAGTGCAATGGTGGCACAGCTCAAGCCCAAAATGCCCCAGCAGAGGGGATGAAATCAGACGGGAAGAAGGAACAGGCCAGGTGTGCTTCTGCAGGTAGACGGAGCATGAGTGTGGCCTCTGAGCAAGAGGTAGGCTCAGGCTCAGCCACAGGCTGGGAGGGCTGGCTCCGTGGTGATGTGTGTATGTGTGTGTAAGGGGGCCTATCAGCTCCACAACACACTGGAGCCCACCACAGGGCAGGCCTTGTGCCAACTGCTGGAGGATTATAAATAGCCCCTGCCCATTGTGAGCTCAGATTTATGGAGGATAAAGGCAAGTACATATGCAAAGATAACAAACAATACTTAGTGTATGAGTATTCAACTATGTATCAGATTATGCCTTCTCTCAAAAACATTCCATGGCTCCCCATTATCTTCAGGGTAATGGTTCAACTTTTCTTGCTGTTCAAGACCTTGGCCTACATTTTAAACTTCATTTACTGCACTCTACCACCCTTGCACCCCTGTGAGCACTCTGTCCATCCCACCTGATTTCTTTACCTCACGCCCTTTGCTTCAGCCCGAACAAGTTAACTGTTTTCTTGCCTCCCTGTCTTTGTACATCCTTTTCCCTCTTACTGGAATGAACTCCCTTTCTGCTTGTAGACAGTGAGCTACCAATTATCATTCAAAACTTGTCCAAATATCACACCCTGTTTCCTTGTCCCTGTTCTCCACCTGAGACAGAGCTGCTTCCTCTCTACTGAGCTCCTGTGTTTTGTACATAGCTCTAGCATGGTATGTCCTATGGTGTACTTACTGTCATGGCTTCCATGCATGTCCAGCTTCTCTGCTAGCTTCAGTGTCCTTAGTCTTACTTACTTCTGTGTCCGTAGTGCATGGTGCAGGGCCTGGCGTAGATTAAATTCTAAACAATCCCTGAGTGTTACGGAGCTATAAAATGCTAGAACTGAAAAAGCCCCACACAATTAGCTACTTCAACTCCTTCACACTAAAGAAAAGAAAAATGGGACCCAGGCAGAAATTCCTCTCCTACTGAATCTGGGAAGCATTTGGTAGCTGGCAGGTGTGTCCCATGTAAGCTTCAGGGAGGAAGTTGAAGTTGGTTTTAACAGACATATGGAATTTTGACTGATGAAACAGAAAGGGGAGATAGGGTACTCCATGTTGGGGAATAGAGTAGAAAATGGCCAGACGCAGGACCTAACAAGGCACATTCCACGGCAATGACAAGGCCAGAATGTTTAGAGTAAATGAGGCAGTAAAGACAAGACTGAAAGTTCATTTCTAGTCATCAGATACTCCTCAAGCACCTCCTCCACACCAGACCTGCACTTGGCTCAGGAATTATAGAGAAAAAGCAAACACCAAATGTATAATCTCATGAAAAAAAGAGATGAGCAAATAACCACCTAGAAAATGGTGGGCTAAGGAGTGATGAGATGTACAAGGTGCTACAAAAGCCTCCTGGGGGAGGCTTATTTTCTGGAAATTTGTCTTCCCAAAGGAGATGAGGCTAGAGAGATAGGGAAGGGAACAGCCTCTGCAGAGCCCTAAAGGTATTAGACGCTTTGCCTTGCAGTAGCTCCTTGCTCTCTCTGTGTCCCCATCTTTGGTTGAAGGCTTTTTGCCTCCCTAGCTCAGCCTCCGTAAGCTCTTCTGCACATTCACAGTCCTCTCTAGCCTCTGCGCAACGTATCCCCTTGCCACCATCCACCCATGGCTGCCCCACCTATGACCAAACCTCGGCTTGCCTCTTCTATGCCCCAATAAAAACATACTTATGTCCTATGCTCCATTCGGGTGTTAAGAACAACATCCTTCAATGACAGATGAATAGCACCTCGTAATTTACAAAGCTCGTCCTCAACCTCCATTTACCAGAGCCTACGAGGCAGGCAGGACATGAATTTTTCTCCTATTTTAGAAATAAAGAAATGGAGGTCCAGAGAAGGTAAGGAACTGCTTCGGGATCACATTGCCCATAAGTAACATTCCAGGCATGTGCTCCAGGGTGTTAATGGGTACTGATGTCTAGCTGTATCTCACTTATGCTGGACAGTCTTATCATGTTAGCAAGGCTCTTCAATGAATGTGGATTTTCAGGTAGTGAGGCTTCCTGGCTGAGGGGGGCAGTTAGGGCAAAGTGTCCCTTTATATGGTGTCACCTACTCTGTCTTTACCTTATTCGTGACTCGTCAACAATGAAGAAAAATGGGTGTGCCAAGGTCAGAGCTTGATGGGTTACAAAAGCCACTTCTTCAATCCAAATTCAAACTTAGCTCGAGATTCTCATATTTATGATACTCACCACTTCCTGACACAGATTATAGTTATTGTTTTGTGTAGTTACTGTGTGCCGTTATCTCTTCTCCTAAGCTATAAGCAACTTGAAGACAGCAACAACATCTGCTCATCATCTTTGTCACCTTTAGTGTCTGTAGGACCATACCTACCACTTAGCACAATACCTCATAAATTACAGTAGGGAAAAGAAGACACTAGGTGTGTTTAATTATAGTATCTCACTTAACCTCACAACAGCACTACAACATTGGAATATATATTTCCATTTTACAAATGAAGCTCAGAGAAGTTAAATAACTTGCCTGAGGTCATATCTCTCATACATAATCAACTTGGGAATTCAGTTCAGTTCTTTCTGGCTCTAAAGCCGACTCTTTCCACTGCAAATAAATCTTAGTCCAGTGACTGAATGTCACTCCAATTTATTAGTCAAAAACGTAACAATCAAACAAGACCCTGTATAAAGGGAAATGCAAAAATGAATTAAACTTCATCCTTGCTCACAGGTAGCTCGTAATCTAGTATAGGAACAAAACAGATAAATGGACAATTACTCAACAGTGGTTTTAAGAGTGCTGCATTGCGTGCTGTGTGCTGGGACACAGAGAGGAACAATACACAACTCTGCTCTCCAAGACCCCCCAAGCTTGTTGGAGAGACAGACATTATGAAATGCCATCATTTGGTTATGCTGCGGACTACAAAACAGACTATGAAGCTCATTATGTTTATGAAGAGAATGAGGTCCTAGGCCCTCCCAGCCTATAGCTCTTCTGTGTGTGCATTCCCATCCCACTGTGGAATGGGTTGAATGAGTTGCAATCAGGGTGGAAAGGTAGAAGGGTTGGAGCTGTAGGATAGTTAAGTTTTCTCCAGAACTACAGTAATACAGTGTATCCATCCATCCATCCATGTGTCCATCCATCCATCCATCAACAGTATTCATGGAGCCACAGAGCCTGCTTTGAACCAGCCAGTGTGCCGGGTTCTGAGGATACAGAGAAGACTAGGCTGCTGTTCCTGGGAGGTTACAGTCCAGTGGGGAAGATAGACATGCACACAAATGATTTCATCACAGTGTGTATATGTGCTGTCTTCTCTCTCTCTGTTATCTCCCCCTCTGCAGGAAAGAAAAATCCCCTTCTTACAAGCACCCACTCCTGCGGGGCCCGGCCAGCAACTACCCCAACAGCAAAGGGGACAAGAAGAACTCAGTGAACCACAAAGACCCTTCAACCCCTTTTTAAAGACACAGAGTCCTGGGAGGTCTTATGGGGACAGGAGCATGCATTTTCTGCTGGGGAATGAGATTAATCACTCTTCTCTAGCTTCTAAGACAGGGATTTGTGGATTAATGCATAGACTCTTGAAAGGGAAGGGATACAATAAGAAATTTCATCATTGGTTTTCCCTTTTTTCAATGGAAAATCAATTGTAAGCCTTCAGCTCAAAGCTCAGGAACAAAATAGGAGATTGGAACCAGGTGAGCACAGATGCTATTTTCTACAACATAGAGATCTTCCAAAATGAGGAACACCTACACATCCCTTTTAAGAGATCTGACATATATCCGGTCAGTTCTTTCAAAGCCATTTTATTGTTTTAAAGTTTTATAGTTACTGCAGGTGGTTACCTTTTAAATAGGCTTGGTTGCTTGGTTGTTTACAGTTTCAGAAATGCAGTGTTTGTATTTTCTGATCCCAAACTACAGCAACAACACATGCAAGTGAAAGGCAAATATATCCTAGGAAACAATGGGACAGAATTTTTGAAATCACGGTGGACTTAAGTATATGGTCACTGCATCTAAACTGCATGCTTTCGGATTCCCTCAGACTCTAGCATGCAAATTTAGAAAACTGTTCCTAGAACTATTTCCCAATTTCCTGGGTAGTTTAATTAAAATTTTAGCTCCAAAGATGAAAAACACTGGTCACTCATTTTAAAAGGTTTATTATGGTTAAGTTCTCCAGATCCCAGGTGACAGGGATTAAGCCTGGCCCCTGAAGATGTGGGCATTGCTAATCTGCAATGAGGAAAGGGTGATTGCCAGGCAAGGAAGATGCAAAAGACAGAAGGATGCACCCTGGGGCAGGTAGAAATGATAAAATAAAACAGTAGTAGAAATTCCCAAAATATGGCACACACTAAATATTCTGCATTTTTGTGAAAAGTAAAGTGCCTTTGTATGATGAATGGGTCCAGGGGAGTCTGCTCCCTTCCTGTCTGTGGAAGCAGCAAGCTTAGTCACCATGACAGCCTGCTAATTAAAATGACCTCCCGAAAATGAGGATTAGGAGACAGGGAGGGGCAGGGAGGCTCCAGGGAGAAAAAGCCCTTAGCACAAAGCTCCACTTAAGCATCTTGTGTGTTGGTTTGGGTTGGAGATTATTGAAGTTTGCTACAAAAATCAAAAACAAAACTTGTTATCCTTTGCATGTTAGTTTTCAGAAATGACAGCAAAGAGCCATATGTTGATTGGCTAAAAATGTCATGTTGTATATATAGCTTCTCCCCTGGGTTCGTTTTGCCCAGAGGAACACAAATAAAGTGTTTTGTGCAACTCTTCTGTTCCTCTGAGCATTCTTGGCACCTTTTCCTTTAGGTCTCCCACTGCTCAAGAACCAACAGGCAAACCCAAAAATTGGTGTAAGCTGACTTTGAGGTCAGGGACTCTGTTATCAAAATAAAGGAGAACAGTCAAGTTTTGAATTTCCAGCAGTTCCTGTGTCAGAGTCCTAGGGAGTTTAATTGACTGCAAGCAGCTTGGCATGCACCAAGAGTGTGTCAGCCTTTTGGAAATGATAGCATCATTTTAGATAGCATGACAAGGGGAAGATTGCATAAAATGAGAGAGACGATAATCTGGATCTATGTTTCCTTGGCCAGGTCACTTCCATAATGTGATTGTATACTGGCCCATATGTTTAGAACTACACTGATTAGTTGGATCATAGATGACACAAACAGCAGGTATGATAATGATTTAAGAGCAAAAACTCAGAGCTGGGCAACTTTGGGTTCTAATTCTGCATTCGGCCCCTACTTCTATTTATTTAAAACTGTGTGATCTTAGGCAAGTTTTAAAGAAACTTGGTGTGGAAAATGTCAGCAAAAGTTGTTATGTGCTCACTAAATGGTAACTGTGATCATTTGGAATGTGACTAGGACAGTGAGGTGTCTGCAAATCATTCCCCATTAAAAAGGAATGAGGAGACTGGAGAAGTTTATTTTTTTCAATAAAAAATAAGAAAGGCCAGGCGCGGTGGCTCACACCTGTAATCCCAGCACTTTGGGAGGCCGAGGTGAGCAGATCTTGAGGTCAAGAGATTGAGACCATCTGGCCAACATGGTAAAACCATCACTACTAAAAACACAAAAGTTAGCTGGGCATTGTGGCATGCACCTGTAGTTCCAACTACTCGGGAGGCTGAGGCAGGAGAATTGCTTGAACCTGGGATGTGGAGGCTGCAGTGAGCCAATATTGTGCTACTGCACTCCAGCCTGGGCATCAGAGTGAAACTCTGCCTCAAAAATAAATTAATTAATAAATAAATAAGAGGGAGTGGGACTAGAAAAGAAAGATCACAGTCTCCAAAAAGTTAAAGGGATATTATTGGACAAAAGAAGCAAACATGTTCCGTGTTGCCCAGAGGTAATAACCAAATCCTGGGAGTGAGTGTCAGTAAGACAGATTTCTGCACAGGATCAGGAAAACTTTCTAGTGAATAGAGTTGCCAGTTACTGGATAGGTTCCTTTGGAAGACCATGAACTCCCCATCACCACAGGTGTGTGAAAGAAGAGTCTGAATGAACATCTGTCTGGGAAGAAATAGAGGCAACTTATTCTCCAGGGAGATACCGGGTTAGAAGCTGGATGCTCTGAAGCATCACCTCATGTCATTTCTCTGGACTGAAATGACATGTGACAGGATGTTACATTTCTGGATGTCAGAAAATGGACGGTACAGTACATTATTTAATGCTAGACACAGTGATATTGACTGTTTCTGAATTACAGCATATGGACTCTGATGAAATTTCCCATTCCTTGAGAGAGAGGAAAGAAAAAGCTGGCTATAAGGCAACCTGTAGGGTGTGTTTGCAGGAGGACCGTCTGCTTTTCCACATTGGCAGAGCACAAAAAAGGGCTGGGCAAGAGACCAAGGGTTGTCAGCATCCTTCTGTGTGGTCTTGGCCTGCTGAGCTTCTCCTTAGCTTTTTTGGGCAAGGTTATACCTATGACCTCAAGCTAGAGGGGAAAGGTTTTCAGCACTGAGATGGAGGACAGCACCAAGAGGCGTACAACCAGCCAGAAGCTACTGGGCCAGCTGTCTCCAGCAGGGGGCACGCCAGCCTATCTTCTTGTCTAGCCAAGTCTGTCCCAGATTAGAGGCACAGGTGGGTGGAGCTGGCCACCAAATCAATGTTCTGTACATTTCTGAGAAGGAAACAGACAACTATGCAAAAAGCAGAGGTGGAAAGGAGAGGGATCATGCCAGGTCTCTACCTGGCTCTTACACAACTCTCTTTAACGATGCAGTGCTAGTTTTGGTCTATATCAGTTCAGAGGTGCACAGACAGGACTAAAAGTCTGTTTACTCTCAAAGCTACAGCAGACAAACTGGTGGTTACCCAGATTCTTCGTTGCTAAGCCCGCAGCAGAGGAGGCTGGTGATGATGTTGTTTGCTTTGCTGCAGCAGCAGTAGGCCTTTAGCCAGAAGTTTTTCTGTTGCCTTTTAAATGGGGTTGGGGCAGTAAGCACCGAAATAACTAGTATCCTTTCACTGTAACTCAACTGAAATACCTGAGACCTGCCTTAGAGAACCCAACCCATTTTTCTACATAGTTAGATCAGAGCCAACTGTGGAAGTGTGGGCTGATTAACACTTGTGCATCAATTCATACATCCAAATGTTTATCGAACATATACGGTGTATCAGGTGCTGTGCTAGATGCCTTTGTATCTATTGCCTTATTCAATGTTTCCAACAGTCACAAAGGTAAGTATCATTTTCTACACTTCCAAGATGAGAAAAAATGAGAATCCTAAAGGTAAAAACCTTTTTTTTTTTTTTTACAGTCATGTGGCCAGTGAGAACCCAGATTCAAACACTGCTCCCCTTACACTACTCTGGGCTGGGCCTTCTGCATTTGTCTCCAGGTAAAATCAGGTCAAACTAAGAAACAGGTTAAAGCAGAATAACAAGTAAACAATGGCATCATTTAGAGGTAGCAGGGGATAGGCAGAGGGGAAGGAAACATGTTAAGGTCACAGGCTGAGGAAAATGTGTAATGATTTCAGAACTTTTTGGCACTTGCTGCTGAAGCCCTGCCTTCTTCCTATCTCTCATTCCCACACACCTGCCTGACTTTCTTCTAGCCACTCCAGAGCCCTCCAGAAAGTGGAGTTTAGGCAAGGGGCCCATTTATCATTTGACATACAGAGGCTTCTACATCATCCAGGGCCCCTGCAATCTCGGCAAGGCTGTCATTTGCCTGGCCCGTCTTGATACTCTCTGGGTTACTGGCCCCAAGGAGATAATCTAGCTCCAGTTCCCTATCACTTCCTCCTTCTGAGGTATGTGAACTAAGCTACTATGTCCCTCATTTCTTGTTCAGAATTCTTCCTCTAAGTTCCTGCCTTCTGAGCACTAGAGAAGTCCTTTACCTTGTGGCTGAGCTCAGCCTGTGGGGCATCAGGGCCAGAATGAAGAGGGGAGACATGACATAATAGGAACAGCCTGAGTTTAAAGTCAGGCCAACCTAAGTGTGAATCCCAGCTCTTCTGTTAAGCTACGTGGCTTTGGGCAAATAATATAATCTGTTTAAGTCTCAGGATCATCATCGGTAAAATGGACTGATTAATATCTGCTTCCTATATTTATGGTGAGAATTGAATATAATAACATCTATAAAATACCTGGAACAGAGTAAAACTCTTTTCTCAAACCACCCTCACCCCTGCTCTGCCTCTCATCTGCTTGGTAGAGTTGGAAATCCCTTCTCTAGGGCCAAAGCTTTTCTTATCCCCAGATGAAGTACAGACAGAAGTACAAATGCTTCTTGAGTAGAGGACGAGAGAGAAGTGTCCAGAAGAAAGGCAGTCACACTGAGGGATAAGTGTCAAGCCAGGGACCTAGGTTTTATTCATCTCTATAGCCTTAGGACTTAACACAGATTATGTAGCAGAGTCTGTGCTCACTGAGTATGGAATGGATAAATTGTGGGGATGGTGAGAGTGGGGTCACCCAAAAACCCTGAACCCTTGAGGGAGGGGAAAGAGGCTTTGGAAGTTGAGACTGAACAAATGGAAAGACAGTGTTGAACACAGTATTCACCCAACCTCATGTGAGGCTGAACTGACAAGACTAAAAAGAGAAGGGGAAATAGATTCTACCAGATACCATATTTTGTTAAAATAATAACAAACAAATCTTAACAGGACATACACAAAGAAAGCTCTTTTTATGTTATTTTTGATTGGCATGCACATCTCTGGGATCATCTTTATGAAGTAATCCAACAGATCTGCTTTGCCAGCTGAAACACCAAATTCAGGTGGTGTGCCGGTCAGGGCTCGTTTTCTCTACTTTGCCAATGAAGAAATTCAGATTAGTGTGATTAAGTCCCATGCCCATGGTCCTCAGCCAGTAAGTAACTAGGACAGGATGTAGACCCTGGATAAAAACACAACTCTACCACACCACTCTGTCTCTCAGTTCAGCCCCAAACCTCAACACTAAGACTGATCAAGTCAGAAAGTCATCCCTATGATGTCTATGAGAACTCCTTAATGCTTAAAATTTGCTTATTCCCCCAAAGACTTGAGATCTGTTCTTAGCTGACCCATGTCAATCTTAAGTCCAAATCTCCTTCTCTCCCTGACATCAGCTGTCTTGGTTAATATTCTCTTTTTCCATCTAGTTGCTCAGGTTGGAAACCCTGCCTTTGTCTTAACACCTTTATGTCTTTCTCCCCACACTGCTGACCAACCACCAAGTCCCATTGCTTCTGCCTCTGTGGTGTGTCTGCCTTCAAGTAGTAGTAGGGAGTGACTCTGGAGTCAGACAGACTTGAATTTTAATTTTGGCTCCATCACTTGCTAATAATTTTATGAATCATTTAGAACAGTTTACTTGCCCCATCTTTAAAATGGGACGATAATGCCTATTGGTGGGATTGTTGTGCATTTCCCTTCCTCTATCCTTTCCATGCTTTCCCTCCTAGCCCCTCCCAGCATTGTCTCCTACCTGGATTGCTGGAATGGCCTCCTTGTCTCCAGATGCTCTCCTGTCAACTCCTTCTCTGCTTGAAAGCTTCCAGGATCTTTATAAAACATGATGCCATGTTTATGGTACTTCTTTCAAATTAACTGTCCAAGCCAGAAGCCTGGATATCATCCCACTTTTATGTCTTTCACACCCCATTTCTGTTCAATTGCCAAATCCCACTGGTTATGCCTGCTTGTTCTCTCTCACTTCCATCCAACATCTCAAGACTTAGCTCATATGTCCCAGCTTCATGACATCCTCCCCAGGCTCAGCAGTTGTCACTAATTG